ACTTAGATGTGTATAAGAGACAAATATATGACAAATGGTAACATCTGATTGAATTTAATTATAAGTTATAGTCACTGAGAAAATAAATGTCTTTATTAAGACCTATAATGAGTTTTGTGCTTGAGAATGAGTATAAGTTCGCTAAAACGGTGATCTTTCAATTATGTAAAGTTGCTAACTATAAGAGGGTACATTTAATGTCAGTGATGCTGTTATTGGGAGAATAACAATTAGTGGCTATGGGAAGGTTTTTATTTGTGCGGATTGACGATTTGTGGTTATTAAACCTATTTCTAAAAGTTGTTCTGGTTTCTCCAGTGTAGGTACCGTTATCACATGCATTACATGTTATAACGTTAAACGAGTTGCATGAAAGAGGAGGGTGAATTTTGTGATTGGTGATCGGAGTGAGATAGTGCTATCAGTTACAATATGTTTGCAAATTTGACAACAAGGCTTTTTATAGTGATTACTGATAGTATTTAATTCACATTTTACATTTGTACCATCTTTAGGTGAAATACAAATTTAGTCAGTTAGATCAGACACATTTTATATATCTTTATGAATGTTTATGCAATAATGTTGGTAAATAATACATACTTAGAACTTTCTTTTATATGTTTAGTTTACGTTATTTGGAAATATAATGGAATTTGAGCACCACCAGGACGGTTGTAAAATTACTTTAATCTGTTATTTTTTTTTATTAGATCTGAAGTCTGACGCATGCATTCTACTGGCAATACTAAATATCTTGCTTAACAACAGATTTTTCATGCTTCATTGGCTTTTGTTGCGCATTATTTCCATTTTGACTGGCTCATAGAAAAATATCATCCAAAAATTACTTAACATATTTTTGTTAACAAATTAACATATTTTAAATATTTTGGAAGTGGAATATTGCCGTGCATTGTTCACCATAATTTAAAAACCAATCAGGCCCAGCTTAGTTTCTTGATGAGCTATTATTGTACCTGCACACTGCTCCCTGTAGTTAAGAAATTCGCAAAAACAGTCGTCCCACGGACTACCATGTTTATGATTTTAATACTTAACACAATGTGACCACGACTCTCAATATTGCCACCTTTGTCAGTTGCAGAGATCAGGTCATGTATAAGACGAAAAAGATAGTGGCAGGTTGAGGCCCCTTTTACATTATCATCTAATATAAATGTTTGGTTAGATATCAGTTCATATTTCTTTCTTTCTTTTCATGTAATTTGTTTTTCATTGTGTTTCATACTATGGATACGTATTTTCGAAATAAAGTTGCATTGAATTGAATTAATATCCAATCAATCAAATGCATTCCTCTGAAACGTTATCAAATTTACAGGTACATGAAATAGGACTCAAACTGTGAATGTTGGGGATGCTCATTGGGGATGCGGACAACAATGGTATTTTTCCCATTATTTTGGGTGTTTACTTTTCATAAAATATGACTTTCAAATTTCAGAAAGCGGTTCAACTCAACAGAGAATTCCCGCAACCCGATTGCACTCAAATTAGTGCCATCAATGTGGTAACATTTAAAATAAGTTAAGCGTTGACAGTACTTGCAAACAAAAAACTTTATAATGACTTATAGGCCTAGCCTATGTATATCGGGCTGATGGCGTCATTACCAGACTGAAGTAACAATACAGTCAGTTGAAAAAGATCGCCGATTGTGATCGAAACGTCAGGTAAATACCGATGTTATTTTGGTTCATGCATAAAAGAAAGTTTAACAACAGTATGTACATGTTGAAAAATAATTATGTTGACAAACATGATATCGATTTATGGCACCACTGACGTTCGTTCCCTAAAAGAGTAGCAATTGAAAAAAATTAACGTCATGCAGCATTATATGAAATAGGCTATCTTTGTCCATTTAGTCCATTTAGTTATGTCCTTATATACACTTGTGTAATCAATAGGTGCTTTCACCTATTGTTAATGTACCTTACACAAGTGTACATATAAGGTAATAATGACACCGCTGTGCATACAGGAAGCAAATAACACATAAACCTCATATACAATGTCTTGAATATTCCATCGTTACTCAACATTGGGCCTACGTATTAAAAACGATTAGACATACTTCAATAATAGAAGAGAAAATATGAAATTTCAGTCTACTTTAATGCTTCTACTTGGAGTATTTATGGTAACACCGGTAGCTGCATTCTATCCAAACCGTCTTGGCTCTCTGCAGTTAACCAAAGATGACTATACTTTAGAAGATATAACCGAAAGTGGTATTCTGCTTGCTGTTGCCCATTACTTTGAATCTAAACCATTAGCTGGAAGACCAACACTTAGCCCTGGTGATCTCACTGGATTACAGCCACTGACTGCGTCAACTCTGTACAGCGCATACTATGGAGGTAAGGCGAATAGCATACATAAACAATATTCATCATTTCATTGTATTTCAGATGTAGAATTATAATATTATAAATAAAATAGTTAAAAAATATAATGTTATGTATTTTATTTATTCATTCGGTATAAAAAAAAACTCACATCAAACCTGAAAGGCAATTATTATTATTATTATTATTATTATTATTATTATTATTATTATTATTATTATTATTATTATTATTATTATTGTTATTATTATTATTATTATTATTATAACAACAGCCATGAAAACACAACAACAATTACAAAAAGAACAAATTAAAAATTAATACATAATGAACATTAATTAATATTATTACAATTTTTAAATTCTAATTATTATTTAGAATTAAGATAATCATTAATTATTATTTACAATTTTAAAGTGAAAGAATATTTAGAATTTAGAATTTAAGTATCTTATATTAAATCATGATTGCAGAGCACCCACCACGGATGTGAACGAGGTAGGTAGGTGACACTTATATTATATTACACAAATGTCACTCAGAAGCATTTATTATCATCTAAATTTTTACTACATTCCGGATTCATCTTACAAGCTTCTTAGAGCTTCTGTGTTGTTGTTTTGTCTGAGCTTCGCTGCTTGCTGACCTAGCTTTTGTTTGATGTTTTTCTGTTTTGATGACATGTTTCGTCCTATGTTATTTTCTTTGCTAGGATCCAGGGATTCCATCCCTAAGCAGTTCCCCAGAATAAATAATAAAAAGAACGAAAAACAAAGAAAGTTTCATGAAGGTCCTTTTAACCTTTTATAGTAGGCCCCTATTAAATTTCAACATCCAAGGACCTTTGGAAAGTCACATGACCTGGTAGAGGTTGGGCCTCTGGCATTGATCTCATCATCAATAAAGTGCTTGATACAGAGTAACCAACATCTAACTGAGGTCTATGTGAATTCTTTCACAGGTAAGTACCCTAGTATGTTTTCTTTTATAACTTTTTAGTATTTAAATCATTTACATTATATTGAAGATAGATGCTGAGATAAGTGTGTAAAACTTGTCATTATTGTGAGGAATAAACTGTAGGTTCAAAATGTTCTTAAAAGACTAGTCTACACCACTGTATGATTGAAAGAAAATTTTTTGTTGTAGTAGCATAGGACTTTCGAGTTGTTACTGTTCCAAGTAGCGATAATATACATATTTCTCTTATTACAAAGTAAAAGTTATGTTTTATAAAGAGGTATAGTATAGTAAATCATGTTTTTAACACAGGAAACTCTCATATGGTAACTAAAACAATGCTAGTTCAGAGTATTACTAGTACTACAGACTGTAATGCATACATATTTTAATACACTACTCAGATAGGCTTTTATTTTTCAATCTTGATTTCAGAGGTCAAAAAAATTTTTCATTTTTTTTCCAATCATATAGTGGTGTAGACTGGTCTTTTAAGAACATTTTCCTGGAAACATTTTTTGGATACGACGCCCCGTTATGGAGTTATGATTTTTTAAATAACATGATGTCAGAAAATCCGCCCAAAAGCTTATTTCTTATTTCTGTTGGTTACGCACCGCTGATTCGCAATGTTTGTCATCACTTCAAGATGTCTACCGATTCGTGAAAAAGGCCTATAGAATACAGTAGGCCCAATAGAACCCTATACAGTGCACCGCATTTAGGTTAGTGACCTTAACACTAATTGGTAAGGTATGCAGGGCTGTGCTACTGAAACTGGGCTGTTGCTATGACAACGAAGGTTACAGAGCAAGTTAAGGTAGATTACAGAGAGTAATTTATAACCCTGTTTTTCCTAATGTGTAACAAGAATAGCAACTGTATTAACAGGGTAGAGTATTGTATATTCAGTACTGTACTCTATTTTAGGCTTTAAACAATTCTCTATAGTAAAATATAAGGTGGTATTTTTCCTCGTATGATGATTTAATGTTTTAATGTCAATTTAGTTTTAATTTTAGTAAAAGTAATGTTGGGTAAAGGATCAGATAGATTGATTTATTAGTTAATTTGTTTTATGTTTTAACACTTGTCATTGTGATTTTGAATGTGTTAAGATGATCATTAATGTGCTTGATACAGAGTAACCAACATCTAACTGAGGTCTATGTGAATTCTTTCACAGTCGGAATATCCTGGAAACACCCGTAAAAAGACTAAATATTTTGAAAGTTTGCTTTATTTGTAATTTGATTTGATGATGAATAAATAAGTATTAAATTGAAAAAGATGTATTATCCACATCAACGAATTATGGACATGATATGAACAAAAGAGCTTTAGTGTAATATTGTATTGGAGTTCAATAATATTATGTTGTATAATTATTGAAATTTGTATATCGATACCCTTTATTGATAGTGAACCTGTTGAATGTCTCAACTTCGACTTGACAGCCAAATGCCCATCGAAGGTATGCTGACCATCGTTTATACCATCGGTAACAATGGTGGCGCCAGATTGGGGGCTGGGGCTATAGCCCCCCGTCGGGGAAGCAGCTC